GATAGAGTGGGAGGGAGAGAGAGAGAGAAACATCGACGTGAAAGGGACACATCGAGTGGTTGCCACCCACACGACCAACCAGGGCCGGGGACAATCTGCAACCGAGGTACATGCCCTTAGCGGGAACCGAACCCGGGTCTCTCCAGACCGCAGGCCGACGCTCTAACCGCTGAGCCAAACTGGCCAGGGCTGAGTTTTGTTTTTAACACTGTCTCCCTTTTTAAATATAAACTTTTATCACATGTATGTATTCCTAAACAACATATTGTTTAGTTTCTCTTATTATTCAGCTTTATAAAATTATATATTCTATGCACTCCTCTGCAATTTGCTTTCTTCATTTATTATTTCTAAGATGTAGTCATTATGTAACATATTATTGGTGGTTTATTTGTTATTACTGATATAGAATATTCTACTGGGTAAATCATCGTAATTTTTTATCAATTCTCCTCAAATGAACATTTGGATTATTTTAATATTTTTGCTATTACAAGCAATGTTGCTGGTACACACTTGCAAGAATATCCCTAGGATATATATACCTAAGAGTAAAATTGCTGAGTATACACATTTTCAACTTTACAAGGTAGTTCTAATTATTTTTAAGTGATTAAACAAATTGACATCCCTCTCCTCTACCAGTGTGTAATATCCTTTTGACTTGTATCATCACCAACCTTTCGTATTATCAAACTTCTTAATGTTTACCAATCTAGTGATTATAACATATCTCCTTGGTGGTCTTAATATGCAAATTTCAAATTTCACATTTTCTTTGCCATTTGGGTTCACTCCTACAATATGCTTATTATTACCTTTGACCATTTTCTAGATGGATTTTTGTTGACTTGTAGGAGTTCTTTGTATACAATCTAAGTATTAATTGTTTTTTAGTGGTAGGTGATAGATCTTGAATATATCCTTTTTCACATAAGCTTGTCTCATTCAGTTCTGTGTTCTGTGGGTCCAGTATATTTGCCCATAGGTATTGATGTTTTCTGTCTTCAGTAACAATGCCTCTTGTTTATGTGGGATAACCAGTTTACAAAGCAATCTCACAAATCTTATCTCATTTGAGTCTCCCAACAACTTTTAAAAAACAAGCTGGGTATTATTATACTTGTTTTATAGATAAGGAGAATGAGTGGCTCGCCCAAGGTCATAGGGCTAATAAGTCCTCATACGTACTCTGTATTCCATATCTTTTTTATGATTATATGATGTTTCAGCTCTTTCTGGATTGTGGCCTATTTACTCTGCTTAGCATCTTTACTTCAATTCCTTCTCTCTTTTTTTTTGGATATAATTCTAAATACAGTTCTTATCTATGAAGTTCATTTTTTAACTTTATTTTAACTTTTATTAATTAATTTTTTGTAGATGTTCCTTCTTTTACCCCCATTGATACCCTCCACCTCTCTCCTGCCCCCCCCTTCACTGTACTGTACTGTTGTCTGTGCCCATTGGTTATACATATATGCAGATAAGTCATTTGGTTTATCTCTTCCTGCCCTCCCACCCCCTTCCCTCTGAGGTTTGTCAGTCTGTTCCCTACTTCCATCTCTCTGGATCTATTTTGTTCATCAGCTTAGGTTCTTCATTATATTCTATAAATAAGTGAGATCATGGGATACTTGTATTTCTCTGATTGGCTTGTTTCGCTTAGCATAATACTCTCCAGGTCCCTCCATGTCATCTCAAAGGGTAAGAGATCTTTCTTTCTTATGGCTGCATAGTATTCCATTGTGTAAATATACCACAGCTTTTTTATCCACTCATCTACTGATGGACACTTGAGCTGTTTCCAGATCTTAGTTTTTGTAAATAGTGCTGCTATGAACATAGTGGTGTATATATTCTTTCTGATTGGTGTTTCCGGCTTCTTAGGATATATTCCTAGAAATGGGATCACTGGGTCAAATGGAAGTTCAATTTTTAATTTTTTGAGGAAACACCATATTGTTTTCCATAGTGGCTGCACCGGTCTGCATTCCCACCAGTAGTGTACTCGATTCCCCTTTTCTCCACATCCTCACCAGCACTTGTTTGATGATTTGTTGATGGCGGCCATTCTGGCAGGTGTGAGGTGATACTTCACAGTCGTTTTAATTTGCATCTCTTTGATGATTAGAGATGTTGAGAATTTTTTTTTCTCATATGTCTCTTGGCCATTTGTATGTCCTATTTGGAGAAGTATCTATTCAGGTCTTCTGCCCATTTTTTAATTAGATTGTTTGTCTTCCTTTTGTATGAAGTTCATTTTAAACTCATTAGGTACAAGATAACAGATGAGTAAAGGAAGCACCTAGAGAATTTTTAAATTGAATATATATTTTTTTATTTAAGAGAGTCTAGGAGGATATTAGAGATCATAACAGTTACCTATTCTTGGGGAAATCACATTTAAAAAAATAATGGGTCTATTATTAAAAAAGCTGATTTCAGGTTCAGCATTTTATTTTATTTTGGCTAGAGAGTTAAAAAGAGAAATATAGGAAAAAGAAAAAATACACTTTAAAATTTATTAGTATTATCTAAATTGGCTATCCTACCTATGTCAAATACTGATTTTCTATTTTCTTAATTATTAAATATTATCTATTTATTATATTAGCTATAAATAATACATATGTTATAAGTAGTATTAAATGTTGAATTTATAATAGAAAGAATATTGGTAGGACAGTAATTTCATCACTCAACCTCCAGCTGAGGCTCCTACACCTGAGCAGTTGGGTGGGCAGTCACCTACTGTGGGAGTCCAAGGATGGTAGGATGTTGTCTCTCAAAGAAGAGATGCCCAAATGTTCTCTCTCAAAAATTTGACATGGTCAAAGATAATACTGTACTTATTGCTTTCTGGGAGTTGTTTCATTTATTCTTTCATTCTCAAACTTATTAAACTACTGCATGTGAAATTTATAACCTTTTGGTAGTTTCCTTGGATCAATTTATTTTTATTTACATTTCATACACCAAAGAAAACTGATGAAACTAGCAGTAGCAAGAAAGGACCTAGGGATAAATAAGGAAACAGCATTCCTAATCTGAAGTATTTTAATCACCATATAATAGTTATATCTTAAGTACTTCCTGGGTACATCCCTTGATGAATAATAAAGAGATAGGACCACATCATATCTTCTCCAAAGAGAAAGGTCTTTAATAACAACTGTCTATTCTACAGATAATTACTAAATATGACCATTCCTGGATCTCTTTGAGTATTATAAATAAATGATCTCCAGTAATATACCTAGAATTTACTCATCAAATATGCCTACATCAATGTCCAATTTAAAATTGGTTGGTTTGCCTGGTTCCATGAAATGATGGTTTAATTAAGTATTTTGATCTAAACCTGAGAGCTGTGTGTGTTATATGAGAAATAATATACATCTGATGATGAGCTTCCTGTGTATACTTCTTTTATGAGTCAGGTACTATACTGGTCTCACGCAGCTCACTTTGAGTAGGGGATAATTATACCACAAAGTGGTAAGCCTAAGAGGTGTGCATTGGGGGAAGAGTACCTAATGACTTTGGAATTCAGATCTGTATTTGGAGAAAATGAGGTGAACTCTGTGTTGGTGATTTTGAGTTTAACATATTTTATAGCTGTGTGTAAGGATATGGGTAATTTCTAACGACCCATACATTTCTAATGTAAGGAGAGGGTCATGCCTAGCCTGGGCAGTTTTTAGTATCACCTAGTCCAAAAGGCCTTAAAGAGGCAAATTACCCACTTGAGAGAAAAGTCACTCATGTTTTTAAAAATATATCTTTAAACCAGCTGCTTGTTAAAGGGCCTTGTAGATATTGTGAGCATATAATTTAATAGCCACTTTGGCACAAGTGGATATTAAATCGGTAGAACATCAAGATTGTTGGGACATTGAAACAACATATCCAAACAGGGACTATTTCAGGCAATTAAAAAGTAAGGCCGCGCTATTTAGGAAAGGAAAAGCACCCAAGGCCTTCTATGAGGTGAGGGTGGGAGGGTTGATTTGGTAGATTCTTCACTCAGGACAAAAAATGACAAGCCTAAGAGGCTTCCTGTTGCCTTTTAAGGCGAAGTCAGGATAGGCTAGAGACAATGAATTTTATGGATCTAAAAAGGGCCTGAAATCTTTGGCACTTCAATTTTTTTTTAAGATTCTATATTTTCCCATTATGATTAACGACAGAATTCTTCCATTAAAAAGCGTCTTTGCGTTGGTCTTGAGGGACAGCGAGAAGTGGAGCTCTGGGAAAATGCCCCACCTGGCCGTCACCTTGGATGTTGGTGGGGAAGAGTAAGGAGAGAGGTCTTCTGCAAGAAAGAACATTCTTTCCTGGGTGAGGTGAATCTGGAATGACAAAGAAACATTGGGGCAAAGGATCAGACCCCGTGAAATGCCCTACAGTAAGGCCTTGATCTGGTGACTGTGAGACAGGGAGTGCGAAGAGCAGAATCGCTTGGTTCTTTGGGAACGAGACCATGGTTTCCGAGGGACACCGCGTTTCCCCGAGCTGTCTGTAGGAGCTCAGCAACCGAAGTCTGAAGGCAGCCGCCGAGTGCTTTGGAAGGCCACCGGTGGGATGGACGCAGGTACACGGAGGCTCCCGGTGCAAAGGGCGTGCCCGAAAACCAGCAGCCTAAACCCTGAGGTGGGTCAGGTGCGCTCGGTGGCGGACACCTTCCCTACAGCCCCGCCCACTGCTTTCTCAGGCCCGCCCACACCCCAATCAGTGCCTTAAATGAGCCAGCCGCGCCGCACACCCCAGCCCGCAGGTAGAACCCTGGTCTCTGCAGACTTCCGGCGGGAGGTAAGGGGCGCGGAGCGCGTCCACTGCGCGTGCGCGCGCCGGCTCCGCGGTCCCTGCGCCCCCTCCCCCTGCTGTCGGGACTTGGTACGGCCGGACGGTTGGCGTCCCCCGCGGCTTCAGCCCGGGGCGCGCTTTTCAAATCGAATCTGCGGCGGAGCGGCGGCGCCCCGGCTGTGGCGCTGGAGATGGAGGGGCTGACGCAGAGGGGTCCCGAGCTCGGCCCGGCGGGGCTTCCGGCTCAGCAGGTGAGTGAGGAGGGGGCCCGGCTTCAGGCTCTCACGCCGTCGTTCCGTCCGGTCGTCGGGAAGGCCGCCGCCCCGCGTCTCGTATTCGGCCGTGGCCAGAAACAAAGGGAAGGGTAAGAGGATGTACTTTGGGGGGTCTAATAGAACTTGGGAATCTGGACACACTCCCGCCCCCGACTTCTTGGGGAGGAAACTGGCCCAGAATGGGAACCCGATTTCCGAGCCTCGCCGCGCGTTCCCGGGTGCACCTGTCCGCTGCCCCCAACCCCCAAGTTGTAGGCACTTGTCTTTTTGCAAGTGCAGGTGAAGCAGGGGAGCCCCGGTTTTCCGAGAAGGCTACCCACGGCCAGTAGAGGACAGTTTGTTTCTTTCCTGGATTTGATGGAAAGCAGTTACTGGAGCAGTGTCTGCCCACAACATAAACTCGGGCCCGGGTGGAGAAGCAGCCTGCATCCTCTGAACTTTCTTGATTAGAGAGTCGATTCTTTTGGAATTGGATAGAAGTTTGTTTTCTACTCACTCGGGTAAATGAGTTGGAAACCTTTTTACGTAATACAGGCCAATATTATTTCTTGGCAAAATCAGGAAAATGGTATCCTTTCCACCCTTAATCATAACTTAAGGGTCTTAAAAGAAAACTCTGATGTATTTAATATGTATTTAATAAAGGTGGATCTTCACTTCCATTGTAATTTCCACCTTCTTTTACCTATTTCTGAAGTAGGTCACACTATATTAAATTGCAAGTTTTGTAGGTCAAAATTGGTAGAATATTAACAGTTTTGTGTGGTCCGACATGTTATCTTTGTGTAGAAACATGGCAAAATCTTTGCTTAGAAACCTGTTATCTTTTCTAGAATCTTAAAAACCTCAGCAGATACAAAATTGTTAGGAAGTCTTCAATAGTACTGTGAAAAAATAAAGCAAAACATTGAGAATCATTATGCAAAAAAGTCCAAAGGCTTTGTAATTTATGCTTTTATGACAGTATTTTCAAATATTTCAAACATTTTGATGTAGTATCCTTTTCTGTTCTATTCTGTTGTGGTTTTTGTCCTGATTGTTAACAAAAATCTTGATTTTTTGGTGAATTGACAATTTATGGAGATTCTTGCACTTATCCTATATGTGTTGGTGTAGCCGTGTGCAGCAGTAATTGAGCTGTGTGCAGCAGTAATATTTAGGAATGATACACAATAGACAAGAGGATAAGGTCATGAAAGAAGCTTAGCTACATGAAATGAAAATAAATATTTAAATATACATAAGAACTAGATTATTTACATGTGGAAAGGTACAATACTTAATAATTTCTTAGGCAATGAGAAATTAAAATAACTGAGTTGTAGAATTCTATCTGTTGAGATCATCGAGAAATCTTGCAAAACAGTAATAGGTTTCAACCTGACAGAAGTATCGAGGGTCAATAAGAAAATTTTATACTTGACTAGCACTGAATTTTTATTTGATGTACTTCCTTTGATATTAATGAACTTGCTATCTGATAGGGAGGGATAGGAGCAAAGATTTTGGTCCACTAGTAAAACACCTCTACTCAAACCTTGGAGTCATCTGTGACTGCTCACAGCATGTAACAGCGGTTTTCAGCCCTTTTCATCTTATGGTAGATGTAAAGGAATTACTAAAATTCTGCAGCTCACCCAAAAATATATTTTTTGCTGATCTGACAAAAAAAAGTAATAGGTGTGATTTTGGTTCATTCACACCAGATGGCTGTTGTGTTGCTATTGTTATTTTTTAATTTCACAGTCTAAGGGAAAACAGGTTCATTGCCCCTGACTAAATAGTCAGGTATTGTATGTTTTAAAAATTCTTGCTGCACACCAGTTGAAAATCGCTGGCATAGAATATTGACTTATTGAGTCAGATTAAGGTATAAACCAAGTCTGCTTGTTGTGAAGTCTTGAATAAGTTGTCTTTTGTAAGTCTCAGTTTCCATAGTTGTAGAATGGGTACTATGGCAGTCCCAGAAAGCTGTTGGAATTTGAGAACCTCTCTTTAAGATTCCTAGCATAATACCTCACACTCAGGAGGTGTATGAGAGATGACTCTTTTTATTATTATCTTTTGTCCTATTTAACCAGTTGGAGCAGTCACGTAACTTTTCTTATAAATGTTTAAGCTTTTAAAATCTTAGTAAAAATAAAATTTGAGAACTAATACAGTCATTGCCGAAAAGTGAATATATACAGAAACACGAATTTAAGAATTTCTCTGATCCATTCTCTAGAATGATCACTACAGTTTCCAGATTTTATTCTGTATATAAACAATTCTTAAAATACATATAATTTCTTTTAGAAGACTATATATTCTTCTGCAGTCTTTTTCATCTTTGTCTCCTAGCTAACATGGTTTAACTATATCCATTAGGTTGCTGATAGTTTCTGTCTAGATTAGTACAGTTGTCTTACTAGCAGCTCAGCTTTTTTTTAAAAATTTTTATTCAGTACTTAATTCCAACACTAAGGCCATTTCTTTGCACTTCCTTTGTGCCATTCTAGCTCGTAAATCCTAGCAAGTTGCTGTTTTCTACATAATCTAGATTTTCACTTTTAAGTCATCTCCCTATTTCATTTTTAGCCTTGCCTTGTCCATTTATTTTTATCAGCCTGACTTTATTTATTTATTTTTTTATCCTCACCCGAGGACATTTTTTGTTCAGGTAGAGTGGGAGAGAGAGAGAGAGAAACATCGATGTGAAAGGGACACATCGAGTGGCTGCCACCCGCACAACCGACCAGGGCCGGGATAAACTGCAACCAAGGTACATGCCCTTAGCGGGAACCGAACCCGGGTCTCTCGGGACCGCAGGCTGATGCTCTAACCGCTGAGCCAAACCGGCCAGGGCTATCAGCCTGACTTTAAACACCTAGAAGAGCAAGACAGTTTCATTGGCTTCTATTTGACTTGATTACAAGCAAGCCCTTATTCAGAACATTGAAGACCCCCCTCTTACCCCCCAATTCTCTTTTCTTCCTGGATACTTGTATTCAGACACTTCTAAGAGGGATGGATACAGGGAAACATGCCTCTATTATGGGTCCTAATTAGCCTTGATTCTGTCATTATGGTGGAGGAAGCAACCGTGTTGTTTTTAGCTTCCTGCTCTCCTTCTTTGAGGTCAGTAAGCAAGCATCACCACTGAATGCTCAGTGGGTGCCCTCATGACATGATCATTGTTTTCACTGTGGATATCACTAGACATCAACTCTTATCCCAGGAGCACTTTACATCCCTTTATCAACTAAAGGCAGGTCCCTCAACTCCATAAAGCCTCTCGTCTAAATTCGTATTGCTTGACCAGAGAGGTCTAAACATGTACGTACTGAAAGAAGTTGCGTGGAGAACAAACTGGCCAAATACAGTGGCCCTCCCAGATCCACATCTAGTCATCCTAGAGCAGGGGAGGCAGAGCCACAGTTTACTAAGTATGTTAATTTGGCTTGGTTTGGGATCAGCAAATTATTTCTGTAAAAGGGCAGATAGTAAATGTTTTGTGGGCCAGATGGTCTGTTGAAATTACTCAACTCTGCCGTTATAGCTTGAAAGCCATAGACCCAACAGATGAGTGGGTGTGACTGAACTCCAGTACAACTTTACAGAAACAAGCAGCAGACTGGCTATAGTTTGCTGACCCCTGCTCTAAAGGATAGAATCTAATATTAATATTTGCTAGATATATTTCAGTTCCTTAATGAATATTTAATCTTACAAATAAGAATTAAAAAAACAACAACCCTGACTTTACTTGTTTTCCACCACTATTTCCCAAGACTCTATAATTTTATAAAGTCTTTATCAATAAACAATGAAGAGAAGACAGGATTCATTTACAAGATGGAAACCCTGGAAGCCTGAACCGGTTCTTTAATGTGGCTGTGGCCATCTACTGGTACCTTTAGGTTGTTGCAATTTTTCAAATCGTTCTGGAATTTCAAGTAGTCCAGCAGTCGTCCTCTATTCTGGTTGTATATTGAGTTACCAGGGGAACTTGGGGGTGGGGGTGATGCTCAGGCTCCACCTTCAGAGATCCTAATTGTTTTGGGGTAGGTCATAAGCTTAAATACTTTTTTATAAGGTTTTCCTCTGTGTCTAAGGTAATTCTAACGTGCAGCCAGCTTTAAGAACCTCTGTGCTAGTTCAGCTGGCTGCCTCACTGTAGCATTTAAAAAGCAAAATTGGATTTAATGCCACCAGATGGTATTTGTTTATATTTGAGTTGTGGGCTAAAGATATTCATCCCAGCTTCAAGTTGTTCCCTATGTGTACTCCCCAATACTAACCAGCCTGCCAGAGTTTATTTCTGTAGACATATGGGTCACATGGATAGTCCTTATAATTAATTACTGATTTCATTAAAGAAGAATTTACTTTGGGGCTGACAAGTCAGAAAAAGAAGAAATGGAGTTGTTGAAGTTCAGTTATGTGTAAAGAAGGAAAACCAGCAAATGACTGTATTTATGTTTGAGGAATACTACAAGAGAAGATTTTTATGTGGTGATTACATGATGTAATTACAGAAGGTAATATAAACAGATCTGTTTTCTTCATGGAATTAGTATATTTGACTGATTTGAATAGCCATCTACTTCAGTATCTCTTTGGGTAACCTTCGTAGACTATTGCTCTCCCACCTTTTAGCTTTTCTTTTTGAAAAGATTGAACTTTTGTTATTAGATTCCATTCATTTTTTAAAATATTTTGCTTTTGATCCAATTAAAAGGTAAATTATAGTTCATTGATAATCCAAGATGGTCAATTTAATTTAAAAATAGACATACCGGAATATTATTACGTTTGTAGTATAGTAAAGTATCTGATGATTTATAATTTTTAAAAAGCCACTGTAAATTCGATCAGAACCATACATTTCAGTTTACAGAATTTTAATGTTACATATGAAATTAGTATATAGAGTCAGGTCATTACAAGATCATTGTATGGAATAAAAGACATTCAGAACTAAAATATTTATTAGTTTTATGGTGACTCTTAAAACTAAAATATATCCAAAACTATGTTCTAAATCTCTATTCCAGGTAGCTAAAACTTAATAAACCATTTTCTAAGCACAGTGCTTTCATTCTTTTGCTTCCGAGATTTTATTTACATTGCTTACCATGACAAGTAGCCTGTTATCTCCCTGATGCTAAACCTTAATTTCTTTATTCAGCATCTGCTATTTTAGAAAAAGTTTTTCCTGGTTACTTCAGTGTCATCAACCACATGGTGCCATCCCACAATATAATTTATGTAAGATGTACATGTGCAATATTGTTCACATTGGTTGTTATAGTATTTTGTTAGTTTCCTGAGGCCACCATAATAAATTAGCAGAATTGAGTGACTTAACACAACAGACGTTTATTTTCTCATAGTTCCAGAGGCCTGAATTCTGAAATCGGGGTATCTGCACGGCCATGCCTCTGCTGAAAGCCCTGGGAGAGTCCTTCCTCGCCTTTTCCAGCTTCCAGGGGTCGCTGGCAATCCTTGGTGATCCTTGGCTTAGTCTCATTACTCCAGGCTCTACCTCCATCTTCACATAGAATTATCTTTGTATGTCTTTCTGTGTCTGCACGTGGCCTTCCTATAAAGGCACTAGTCATTGAATTTAGGGCCCACACTAATTCATTATGATCTCATCTTAACTAATTACATCTGTAAAACTCTATAGCCAAATAAGGTCACATTCTGAGGTTCTGGGAGGACACGGATATTTGGGAGACACTATTCAACCTTGTTCAGTTATGGTAAGGGTATTTAATGTTTGGAGACACTATTAAACCTTGTTCAGTTATGGGAAGGATATTTAATGTTTCTCACCTTTGTTTCTATTCTCTTTATCCAGTAGATTATAAAGACTTCCTAATAAAGCAATAAAATAAGGTTTTGCAATGAGCTTTTTAAAATAGCTGTATTTTTGCCCTGGCTGGAAAGTTCAGTTGGTTAGAGCATCATCCCGATAAGCCAAGGTTGCAGGCTCAATTCCCAGTCAGGACACATATAAGAATCAACCAATGAATGCATAAATAAGTGATACAACAAATCGACATTTCTTTCTCTCTCTCTTCCCTGCCTCCCTCTATCTCTAAAATCAATAAACCAATAAAAATAAAATAGCTATATTTTTATACTATCATACATTGAAACTTTGTTTCTTTCCCAATATGATATAAAATTATAATGATATCTAGTACAGTTTCCTTCTATTAGGGATAAAAAGACATGTTATAATTTGGATTTTTGCTATCTTTTAAAAATGCTTTTCTGTCTTTTTTTTTAAGGACTGCAGCATTCAAGAAAAAATAGATTTAGAAATTCGAATGCGACAAGGAATATGGAAACTCCTTTCTCTGAGCACTCAGAAAGACCAGATTTTACTTGCAGTAAAGAATCTCATGGTGTGCAATGCTCGAATATTGGCTTATACATTGGAGCTACAGAAATTAGAAGAACATATTGCAAATCAAAGTGGAAGATGGTTAGTATCATAATTTGTGTATCACTCCTAAACATTTGAATTAAAAACATGATAAAAACATGTCAAATCACCAAAGCCTTTAAAAAATAAGTGCAGTGGCCCTGGCTGGGTGGCTCAATTGGTTGGAGCATCGTCCTGTACACCAAAAGGATGCAGGTTTGATCTTTGGTTGGGATGCGTACAGTAGGCAACCGATAGTTTCTCTCTCACATTGACATTTCTCTCTCCCCTCCTCACTCTAAAATCAATTTAAGAAAACATATCCTCAGGTGAGGATTAAAAAAAGTAAGCACACTGAAGTAGCCTATGAATTTTTAACATTCTGACAGTAGAGTTTAGAGTAATCTTACAGTTAAGACATCAGTTTTCACTGGGCAGTTTTGTTGTGTTTGGTACTTACAGATTGTAAAATTAAGTGTTAAAAAGCAAGAACTGACAGAATATTTTAAGAAGGATCAAGACTGATAGGTGAGTATAAAGAAATGTAAATTAAGGAAAGAAAAAACTAATTGCTTAAAAATATGCTAAGAAAGAAGGTACTAGGTAAGAGAAATGGAAACTTAGGTACGTATATAAATTGAAATGAGTGGACAGCAAAATTAAAAAGATATAAAACCTTATAAATGGAAGGAAACTTAAAAATCTATTAGCACATCCTCTTCATTTGATGAATGTAAGTCTTAGAGGCAAGTAACTTACTCAAGGACATGTAACTAGCTAGTGACAAGCTAATGAGAGTTTACTTAGGATTTGCTGAGTAACTTCTATTTCTTGTCTCCCTGTCACTCCATGCTGCCCTTTTGGATCAGGCCTAGGATTTGTGTATGAAATTTATATCACATCCTATTTGCAATGCGAAGTCTTATTTACACCTAAGAATTGACTCAATTTAGTGGCTAGATGTTGATTCCTTTTTTAGTATAAACAGTCTTTCATCACCCATTGTTGATCAGTCTTAAAGCTCCAACACTGGTAAAAATGTTTTTTAGACATCAGTGACCTTTGGGCTGTTCATAGTGCCATTAAATTCTTGAAAAGTAAGGTAAAATCACAGGTCAGAGAAAGAGGTTTATGTAGAAATAAATTATTGATGAGATTGTCATACAATAAAGCCTTGTCTATAAAGTAGCTAATGTTTGTTATTTCCTTGGGATAGCTATTTAATCTCTTTGTGCCTCAGTTTCTTCATTACAGTTGGCATGGTATTGTTTACATTTGAAAATTAGGATTATGTGTGTGTGTGTGTGTATAAAACCTATTATAATATCTTTTACATAACTAATACACAACAAATGTCAAATAATTATTATTATATATCCTTGGCATTATAAAATGAAATTATTTCACTATCATAATCTAGGAAAATTTTCAAATGGACATACATTATTTTAAGTCAGTGCTTCTCAAACTAGGTCACATGTATCACTGAGAGTACAGGATTATGTGTCAGGAGATATGCAAAGCCGTAGAATAAATATGGCATCTTCTTATACTATGCATTTTTAAGATAAAGCATGAGAAGTTTAGAATTGTGGCATAATTTGGGGTTATTCTACTCAAGGGGATATATTTTCCTTCTCCCAGTCTTTATAGGGATTTTATCAAAGGGGCCTATTTCAGTGGAAAAGTTTAAGAAGCACTGGTTTAAGTATAGTGTGGTACTAAAATTATTCTATCTCTCAGTTATATGGAATATTCCTCTAGGAATCATATCTGTCCTCCATATTTATGTTCTTTAAATATTTACAGTAGTCTATAGGGGATATAGTCCAAAATCCCCAGTGGATTCCTGAAACTGGATAGTATCATACCCTATTCAACGTCAACTCCGCTGGAAATGTGGCAGCATCTTCTTCATTAGCAGACACAGCCTCATCAGTAATTTATATATCTTTTAGTCCCAAGCTGTTCCTGAATCTAAATAACCATCCCTTATTTGCAGTAAATGGCTTTGTGTCACTCATTTCAGGGGATCCCTTGTTAAAATCCTCGTATAGGTTCAATGCTATCTGGCATAAAATGTTGCTGTCAGTTGAAACACGTTTTCTGTTCATTGCTTCTGCACACAAATTTAATGCCTTGTCCATCTTAACTAAGTGCTTACCATGTACTGTACTGTGGCTATAACTTTTGCAGTTTGAGGTGCAACAGCAAAACTGGCACAGATTTCTTTTTCCCTCTTCACAATTTCATGTATAGATTTTTGTTGTTTTTTTAATCCTTACCTGAGGACATTTTTTCCATTGATATTTAGAGAGAATGGAAAAGAGGGAAGAGGGAGAGAGAGGAGAGAGAGAGAAAGAGAAACATCGATGTGAGAGAGACACATTGATTGGTTGCCTCCCGCATGTGCCCCAACCGGGGCCAGGGATTGAACCTGCATCCTGGGTATGTGCCCATGGCCGGGAATCAAACCTGAGACCCTTTGGTGTGAGGGCTGATGCTCTAACCACTGAGCACCACTGGCCAGGGTGGGATAGATTTGTTCTTACTGCAGATCTTGGTAACTTCAGCATACGATTTTTTAAATTATTATTATTGAATTAAGAACTTTCACCTTTTCACTAAAAGGAAGCATTTTATGGCTTCTCTTTGGCATATCCAGATTGCCAGATCCACTGCTCTTATGCTTTGGGACCATTAAGTAAAGGTTACTTGAACACAAGCACTGTGATACCATGACAGTCGATCTGATAACCGAGATGGCTCTTAAATGACTAATGGACAGTGTGGATATGCTGGACAGGGGATGATTGAGATCCCAGGTGGGACAGAGCTGGATGGTGTCAGATTTTATCACTCTTCAGAAATGCATGCAGTTTAAAACTTATGAATTGTTTATTCTGGAATTTTTTATTTAATATTTTTGGACTGCAGTTGACCACAGATAACCAAAACCACGGAAAGGGAAACCATGGATAAGGGGAAATTACTGTAAAATGAATTGTGAATTGGCCATTTTCTTAATTTGGCTGTATGACTTTTCTGAAGTTGTCAATTTATAAAAATGTTAAAAAAGTTGAATCCCTGTTTGATTTACATAACAAAAAGAAAAATATCGTGAAATCTCTACTGAAGGATGTGTATGACTTTCAGTTCCTTTACTGATTATATTTGATAGATAAAAATAGCTTTGATGCTATACACATTTATATTTTTCATCATTCATATAAAAAGTCTCCCTTAATTATTGAATTATTTCTTTCTTTTTATAGAAAATCTGAGTATTCTATTTTAATTCTTTTGTTTATACCTTCATTTTGTTATGTGCAGGTATAACTTGAGTTTACTATCCAAATATTATTGGAAAGTATAGTTCATATCTTCTTATTACATAAAAGTGATCTAAAGATTAGAGTCTAATGATAGGGGTTTTTTTTTGTTCCTTAAAGAAAATTATGTAAATTATGCCATTTGATTAGTAAGTCTAATATTTACCAAATAGCTAGTACTTGTAGAACACTTACTAAGTACTGTGCTAGTATATCCAAATTAAAAAAACAGAGTTTGTCAAAATATGAGAATATATGAATATTCAATGGTCAAATATTTTTCCTTTAAAGACTTAACAGTCTGGCCCTGGCTTGTTTGGCTCAGCAGTTAGAGTGTCGGCTCACAGACTAAGAGTCATGGGTTCAATTCCGGTCAGGGGATTCAGTTCGGTTGTGGTTTGGTCCCTGGCCTTGGTCAGGGTTGTGTGGAAGGCAGCCAATTGATGTGTCTCTCTCACATCGATGTTTCTCTCTCTCTCTCTCTCCCACTCTTTCTGAAGATAAATGGAAAAATATTTTGGCTGAGGATTAAAAAAAAAAAGACTTAGCAGTCTGTACCTTAAGTTGGTTTTACTAGTCTTTAAAGTAGAAAAATGCTGTTTTTACATTGCTACCAGAGTTAAAATAGCATTTTAATGAGTCTACTAACACTAGTCTACTTCTTTAAAATTGTATGATAAAGTATAAAAAAAAAAATCAATACAGAATACATCTAGACTTTTTCAAAGAAGAACCAAATCAGTATGAAATGGTATAATTGAAGAAGGTCTAATGGGAGAACTGGATCTGAATCTCCTAGATCATGGAGGGTGGATAGAGTCTGGTTAGGTGAGCAGGAGAAATCAGCATTCCAAGAAAGGAAATAATAAAACAAAAGCTGAGGGTGGAAGATGAGCATGAATTATTCAAGACCATTGAAGAGATATGTTTGGTTGAGGTTGAAGATCAAGCCAAAGTAAAAAGGGATGGAAGAATTACAGGGTTCAAGAAAATTTAGAATGCTAGGAAGTTGATTGGTACTGACAACCTTTCTAGGTGACAGATATTGTGCTAAGATGTTCACAAATATGCATTACAAACTGAGAGGCGTAAACTTCTTTATTAAATACTCAGACACTGGGACTTAGAAATATTAGGTAAGTTACTGTGTGCCAGGATGTGAGTCCAGGTGACTTTAAAGCCTTAGTGCCCCTCACCTGCCAGAAAAAAGCCCATGTACTTTGCACTACCCTAGGCTGCCCTCGTGAGTTATTACAGAACTTTGTATTTGTTTCACTGTTTATTCTTTTTTTCTTTTTTGATTTTAGAGAGACAGGAGGGAGAGGGAGAGAGAAACATCAATGAGAGAACATCGATTGGCTACCTCCTGTGTGCCCCCCCAATGGGTATTGGGCCCACATCCTGGGCATGTGCCCTGACTGGGAATCAGACTGGCGACCTTTTGGTGGATGGGTTGACACTCAACCACTGAGCCACACCGGCCAAGCACTGTTTATTCTTTATTATTTTATTTTATATAAGAAAGAGACTTCATAAAATGGATGTTTGGGAAATACCTTGCAGCAGAGTATTGAAAAGTATGGTGAAACAAAATAATTGAAATAACCAGTTTTTAGGAAAACCTTTTTAAGAATAGGCACACAGAGAAGTAATCAAATAGTAACTTTTCTTATTTATTATTTTCTTAATCCTCACCTGAGGATATTTTCCCACTGATTTTTAGATAGA